CAGAACAATAAATTCAGCCCTGCTGTGTAATATTTGCTGATGACGGTGGTGGGAATACTCCCACCATGGCCTTTTTTGTCACCAAGATGAGGTTGCTGAATGTGATTTGGGAGTGATACCCAGTGGCACATCATTGTATAGCATGTCCACCATGCAGATATGTACCTAGAGGCCAATGACGGCAAAGGCATGGGGAACAGACAAATGTAGTAAAACAAATAGGAAGTAGTGTGTTTGGAGTATTTATTACCTTTGTTTTTAACATCATTTATTTAATTGTAAGCTTATATAATTTAGTTTCTAACAATGGCTATTTGACATCCGGCTCACAAACTCCCTGGGCTGGTGGGAGACAGCTCCAGCGCCTCGCTTAGCCTCAGAGGAGCCCCCGCTTTCTTCCGTGCTCGGCCACAGCTCACCCTGCTGTCTCCCAATGGAGAAGGCTGACTCTAGGTCACCAGCTGCCTTGGTGACTTGCCTACAAGTGCGAGTGAGTCTCAGTGTGTGAGCTTTTCCTTGACATGATTTCTTTAGTTGCTAAGCATACCATGAAGCCTGGTTTAAAGGCATCTTGGGCCTGAGTAAGGAACAGAGTGGCATATTCTGAGACAAGGGTTACCTCTTGAGTCCCTGAAGGCACACTGGCACCTGGCCGCCACCTTGAAGATGACTCTGATTTAGTCATTTGACTAAATGTGCCTGAGAGTGACTGAGGAGCTTGTTAAAATGGACATTCCTGGCCCCGTACCTGGTGATGAGCATTCTGAGGGCAGGAGGTGACTCCCGGAGGTCAGCACATCCACCCAACCCTGCCTGATGCAGGCAGCTGCAGAGCCCACGCCCAGAGCAGCTTCTCAAGGGCCCAGGCGGCTGCTGTGGGGCCCCTGAGGCAGGTCTGGGGATTAGCAGAGCCCACAGCTGAAGTCCTCTTCAAGGAAACAGAGGTGTCACCAAAAGCCAAGGAGGGCTCAGCCAGACCTGGGGGTGGCCACTGGGAGGGGGTCTTGTGCTTTGGATCCTTTACCTTACTCATTTGAGGTCTGCCGTGATTGAACTGGACCCAGTTGCCTGGAAAACTGAGTTTTCCAAGACTGACCATCAGCACCAATTAAAAGACAAATAGCTCCCATTTATCTCATCCTTGCCGCGCTGCAGGGTCCCTGGCACCCTCTGTTCCCCACGTGAAGAAGCTCAAGGCTCAGGGCAGCTGACAACTCTCTGAGGTCACACCCTGGCAAACAGCAGAGGCTGGGCTGAGCCCAGGACTGTCTGCCTTTAGTTTGTTGCATGTCTTTGAGACAGGTTCCATCTGCTCATGAGTCCCAACTGGCAGACTGTTTAAACTTTCTTATGAACGTTTTCAAAAGCCCATACAAATAAAGAGTATGTCAAGCAGCACTTTTTAAGATGAACTATAACCAACTAGCTTCTCACATGCTTCTCATGTGGTCAGAGTTAATTTTAGCTCATGAAACTCTTGGTTCTGTGAAACACCTGCTGAATAGACTCCTGGGAGGGGGTCTGGGAGTCGACAATTACACAGCCTCCCAGGTGATTCTGAGTTTATCAGAGCTGGAGAGGCACTTGCTACCCAGCGGCTTGGTGTGGAACATGAGATGCCAAGGCCAAAGTCAGGCCTCTGAGCTCAAGGCACCCTGAAGCACAGCCAGTCACTCCAGCACATGTTGAAACTGTACATGTTTACTTCCTGTCGAACTGTTCACATTTTATTTTTGGAACACTGGGGATTGGCAAAAACAAACCCATGTGAATGAAGCCTCCTAGGGCACCGTTGTGCTGATTGTGAACCGCATGTGGGCAAAACAAGCCACACTTGACAGCAGCTACCCACATGACCAGCACTCCCCTGGATGCTGATGCTGCCATGCGAGACGGGACGTTGGCGCACCAGCATGCAGCCACCCATTGCTTCTCCTGCTTGCCAAGTCAGCCATGCTGCTGCCTCAGATACCATCACCTGCACCTCCCAGGCATCAGCCCCTCACTCCAGCAGAGCCCCTGACCAAGCCAGGGGAGCAGGACTTTTCCAGCCAGGGCAAGGACCAGGCTTTTCTGACTCCTTGAAGATCTGGTGTTTCATGGAGTTGAGCTAGCTGCTGTTCCAACATCTGAATGTGGGAAGGGGAGGGGAGGGTCACTGGATCTTCATGGCATGGGGACAGGGAGCAGTGAGCACATTCCTCAAGGACTGTCCGTCTGCCCGCCGGCTGACTAGTGATGCTTTCCTTCCCTCTCCCCTGTCTCGTTGCAGGACACAACGGACTCGTGGCTGTGAGTACCTCCCCAATTGATCCCACTTCACTGGCCCCTGGGCGTGTGGCTCTCAGCAGCCTGGGAAGGAGTGTGAAGAAGCAGGTGGGATAAGGGCCTCGAGAGAGAATGAAAAGGCAGCCTAGTTGGCACTCTCTGCTCTCCCGCGCTGACCGGGGGCTGGGTCGAATGCACATCTGCAGCCAGCTGAGGACATCACAGGCTGCTTTCCTCCCTTCCCCTAATGGGGAAAGGTGGTTTCCCCATGGCCTGGGAGGGAGTCAGGGAGCTTCCAGAAACAAGCTGACAAGGCGGGGAAGCATGTAACCAACATAGCATGGGAGCAGGTGGGAAGCGGGGGATTGGGCACCCAGGGCAGGGTGGGGGCCCTTGACTCCAGATCATAGGCAGCCCTTGTGTCTAGAGCCCTGTGCTCCCAGCCAGGTCCAGGCCACGTACCACCTTGGAGTACATAGCCGCTATGTGGCCAAAGTGTGCCCTGGATACATTGAGGAGCTCAGCCTAGCAGAAGGGCCAGCGCCCCTTCCCCAGCACAACTGACTTCAAGATCCCAAGCTGAGCTGGGTGGCCCAGAGCTATCCTTAGCCTATGCTTCTGTAACCTGAGTCTGGATACCTCCAGGAGGCCACAGCAGGTATTCAAGCCACAAAACAAACATGGAACATCTTCTTGAAGCAGCGGCAGCTCTAGAATATCAATATGGGGGTAACTGTGGATGTGCTAACGGACTGATGTTAAACCTTAATACTTTGCCTGGTGTCTAAGTTTTACCTGAACATTTTATGTGGGGCATTTTGTAACTCAGTGGATCAGTAACTTAAAACATTTATTTTATTTTATTTTATTTTAATTTTTTTTGAGATGGAGTTTTGCTTTGTCACCGAGGCTGGAGTGCAATGGCACGATCTCAGCTCACTGCAACCTCCACCTCCCGGGTTCAAGCAATTCTCCTGCCTCAGCCTCCTGAGTAGTTGGGATTTCAGGCGCCCACCACTAAACCCGGCTAATTTTTGTATTTTTAGTAGAGATGGGGTTTCGCCATGTTGGCCAGGCTGATCTCGAACTCCTGACCTCAGGTGGCCCGCCTGCCTCAGCCTCTGAAAGTACTAAGATTACAGGCATGAACCACCACGCCCGGCCTAATTTTATATTAATATAGGCCTGATTTTATATTAATATAAACAAAGATTCATCTTCCAGCTCTGCCACTTTGTGAAGGTTAAGGTGAGTCACTTAGCCTCTCCGAGTCACTGTAAAATGGAACAATGACACCTGCCCTCACAGAGCTGCTGTGAAGGTAATGGATCATTTGCTGCTAGAACCCATCACATGCAAGTGGTGGCTGTTATTATTGGAAGTTTCCAGGCCAAGGAAGGCTGGCATCCATCCCCTTCACCCAAAGCCCACCAGGAACACACGTGTAGTTAGTCTAGTTGGGTTTCTTGCTCCTTGCAGCGAGGGGACTCACATCAGGGGAACCTCGGGTTGCCTCAGTAGGAAGGTGTTAGAAAGAACCTAGCACAGGATCTGAGCTTTGGTTGATTCGAGGGAAGGCCTAAGGACATAGGGCTTGCCATAGATTAGATACTGTCAGGAAGGAGGGGCAGCCCTGCAACTGGGCAGCTCAAGAAATCCGATCTGTAGGGAGGAGAGGTGTGTGCGGAGAGCAGTAATTGATACAGAAGTAGCAGTCACTCATTTCAGCCAAGAGGGGTGTTGGGTATTTTCTCCATGGCACTGAGACATTGCTTTTGTTTGTGCTTGCCTCATTTTATCATAGTCTTATAGAAACCTTGTTTGGGGCTGTCCGTCTGTGAGATCGTTCCTGTGTAATAGGAGATGCAGCTTACCTTGCGTGCCAGGCCTCAGCCACTGAGTGACGGCTGCTGTTTCTTTCTCAGTAGGATATGTTAGGAGGATAGACGCTGGTTTCACACCGTCTCGTTTCAACTCCGAAGACCTCTGCTCATCAGCTCTGTGAGCCTGAGGCAAGCCGTTAACCTTATTGAGCCTCAGTTTTCTCATCTGTAAAATGGGAGAATCATAGTACCTGCCTCTTGGCTGGTGGGAAAAATTAAATAAGACAATGTACTCACTGTTTCTGGCACATAATAGTTGCCAAGGGAGCTTTTTGAAAAGTCTGACTTTTGCATAGCACCATTCCTGTGGTCACAGGGCCAGCATTTTAGATCGGTAGATTCATGACCAGTTTGGTTCAACAGATATTTATTGATTTTTCCACTAAGTGCTAGAAAAAAATTAATAGAAATCCTTGCATCATTTGTTCTCCCAAAATAAAGCGCTGCTATGAGCAGCTTCATTTACTGAGCACATTCTCTGTGCCAGGGACCACTTAAAGCCCTGTCTAGGGACCAGCTCAGTTCATCTTCACAGCAGCCTTATGAAGTGGGTAAAGCCAGGACTATTTTCATCAGCCCCATTATTGCGTGTGAACAAACAGGCCAGGCGGATCAGGTACTGGGGCTGCAGCAGCAGAGAGAGAACGAGCGGCTGAACCTGGGCAGAAGAGTCAGCGTTCACAAGTTTCACCTCACTGTGCTGCGCTTGTAGGAGGAATGAGGCTTGTGCTCTGCCTGAAGGAGAGGAACATCCCAGGGCAGGGTGGCAGGAAGCAGCGTGAGACCCCGAGGCACCAGGCCTCTGAGGAGGGAAGACCGCCTTCAGTTGGGAAGTGGAGGGGCGGGAGCAGGCCTGTCCGATCTTAGAGGACATCTAGGAAAGGCAAGAGTGGAAGGGGAAGCACAGGGAAGGGCATTCCCAGAGCAGGGAACAGCATGAGCAGGGTGGGGAGGCCGTGGGGTGTGGGGCATACTGGCCTATAGTGAGGACCTTAGTCTGCGGGTCAGCCCGAGGGAACCCTGACATTTCAGAGGGATAAAGGGAGGGCCCTGTGTGCTGCCCCACTTCCCAGGCAGCGTACCTGCAGAGACTGGGGGTGAACACCGCAGTCTTCGAGAGGCGCCACGTGATCGGGGGTGCAGCTGTCACTGAGGAGATCGTCCCAGGTGAGCTCTGATGTGGCATGGGGGAGTGGAGGGCAGTGACCCGGGGACAGTCTTCATCCTCTTCATCCCTGCTGACCCCCGGGTGACAGTCCTCATCCCCGCTGACCCCCGGTGACAGTCGTCATCCCCGCTGACCCCCAGTGACGGTCCTCATCCCCGCTGACCCCCCGCTGTCTCTTATACACATCTAGATGTGTATAAGAGACAGGTCGTCATCCCCGCTGACCCCCAGTGACGGTCCTCATCCCCGCCGACCCCCAGTGACGGTCCTCATCCCCGCTGACCCCCGGTGATGGACTTCATCCCTGCTGACCCCCCGTGACGGACTTCATCCCCGCTGACCCCCAGTGATGGTCCTCATCCCCGCTGACCCCCGGTGACGGTCCTCATCCCCGCTGACCCCCCGGTGACGGACTTCATCCCCGCTGACCCCCAGTGATGGTCTTCATCCCTGCTGACCCCTGGTGACCATCTTCATTGGATTCGGTTTCAGGGTTTAAGTTCTCCCGCGCGTCCTACCTGCTCAGCCTGCTGAGGCCGCAGATTTACACTGATCTGGAGCTGAAGGTAGGGCCTCCCCGGCCTGATTGCAGGGAGGGAGGAGGCAGTTCCATCTTCCCAGCCTGGGCAGAGGCTGCCTGTTCTACGCCCGAGGTGATGCCCGCCCCTGAGGGCTCCCTCTTCTACCCAAGTCTTGTGTATCCCACGTGGTCTCCCTGCTGCGTTCCCATGGATGAGTTTTGTCTTGTCCATATAGTGTCTTGAAAAGTGGGAAATTTCATCCAAGAATCAGACTTCTTTTGAAGAATGAGCTTTGTCACCATCAGGCCCCGTGGGACACCTATCTGAAGCCTTGGGCGCCTGAGCTTACAGCTGCCTTGGGACACGAGCCCCATTTCTGCCCTCGTGAACTTGAGAGCTGATTCCCTCTCTTGGCAGCTGGAGCAGGAAGTGGGGCCTAGGGACTTTTCTGGCTCCCGGGCTGTTTGGAAGGTTCCTGGGAGTCTCATCTGGTGCTGTTTGCCTCTCAGTCCACTGACCTTTGTCCACAACCTTGCCCAACCCTGCCGCCAACCCTTTCACCTTCCTTCACCCCCACTGTCTTATAAACTGCGTCACCACATTCCTGAGGCTGATTGGCTTCTACCTGCTTGGTACCACTGTCACTCACCACTCAGAGAAAAGGGGTCTTAGTGCCATCTGCACAAGCAGCTGCCACTCATGTTGGTGCCATCTTTTTTTTTTTTTTGAGACCAGGTCTCACTCTGTCGCCCAGGCTGGAGTGCAGTGGCATGATCTTGGCTCACTGCAAGCTCTGCCTCCCGGGTTCACGCCATTCTCCTGCCTCAGCCTCCCGAGTAGCTGGGACTACAGGCGCCCACCACCACGCCTGGATAATTTTTTGTATTTTTAGTAGAGACGGGGTTTCACCGTGTTAGCCAGGATGGTCTCGATCTCCTGACCTTGTGATCCACCCACCTTGGCCTCCCAAAGTGCTAGGATTACAGGCGTAAGTCATCGCGCCCAGCCATGTTGGTGCCATCTTTGCTCTAAATTCAAAATTTTAAGCTAGTGTGATGTCCAGCTGCTGTTCACAGCTCTTTGGCTGCTCTAACTGGTTCATGTAGAGACTTCTTCAAGCCACTGAGACAGAGTATGTGCATCCTGGTACCAGGACTGGATGAAATCTAGCCAGGGCTGGGGGTGAGTCGCTGGTCTCCAGTCCAGACCAGACCATAGCAGCAGGCAGTTTGTAAATGCACCACTTATTCATAGTAGCAGATGTTGGGGAACAGGGACCCTCCTTTTGGCAAACCTGATCTATGAGACTAAGAATCACAGAATAGACATTTTCACTTGATTATTCTCTTTACTTAAACAATGTTACTCATTTGAAATGGTATTTGTCATAGTGTTCCTGGAACTAGAAGCTCCCAAGTGAATTGAGTAGATGCTTTAACCTCTGCCTTGGGCTGCATTCATAGGAGTACGGTGCTCAGATCAGGGAGAAAGCAGTTCTGCTGTGTGATGTGCAGGACTCACCCCATCTGGAGCACCTTGTTTTAACAGGACATTGAGGGCCTGGAGGGCATTGACAGGAGGGCAACTAAACTCTTTCCAGGAATATACTCTTTCCAAAACTAGAATGGAGAGCATTTACTTTACCAGCATCACATATTGGGCTATGACCTTTAATGTTCTATCTCAATTGTTCCTCACCTGTAAGTCAAGAGCCATGTTAGAATCAGGGAACTTAAAGTTCAGGGGTTAAATTCACAGAGCTAAAAAGTGATGGAGAATTTGAGCCAAGGTCGCACTGTCTCCTACTCCTTGTTCTTGAGCTATGATGCACTCAGGCCTCTTGGTACCGATACCACCCATACTCACATGCCTCTAGCTCTTTGTAGTTTGTGGTGAACGTGGTCATAGATGGAGTGTCCCTGACAGCTCCAGCGGGGTGTGCACAGAGGCTGAGACTGGAGCTGCTGGAAACTGGCCGGCTGCGTCTGCCTCCCTGCTCCACAGCTCACCAGCTGTGTGATTTCGCCATGTGATGCCTTCTCTTCCTCATCTGTAAGATGGCAATGGCAACAACACCTGCCTCCCAAGGCTACATCAGCACAGTCCCTGGTGCACAGCGGGCTCAGTACTTGTTGCTATTATTATTACCTCCATTTGGCACTTGAGAAAACTGAGGCTCCAGAAAGACCAATGGCCAGAGACTACTCAATCACCCTGCCACTTATAAGGCTATATCCAATTAGACTGAGCCGCCAACTAAAGTGTGAGGCTTAGCTTTGGCACCGCTGCCCTCCTCCCCTTCTTGAGCCAAAGCACCCTCCACCGACCCTCTGTGGTCCCCACCAGGGCCTGCCTGCCCATCCTGGGTGTTAGTTTCCACAGCTGTCAGTGCGAGCACTGACTTGGATCACCTCCCGGTTCCATCCACCTAGAAAATGAGTTTGCTTTTGCAGCAGTCTCACGCTGGGTGATGGAATCCAGGCTGGAAGGGCAGAGCCTTTGCACTGGCAGAGAAGGGGATGTGGAGGGGGGCTTTTCATCCCCTTCAGCCATAAGCCACCTTCCCCACCTCCCCCTGGGCCAGCCTTGACCTCATTGCCAGAGGCAACCCCATCCTCCCTCCCCCCCTCACTGACCTTCTGTGTCTCACTCAGTCTTATTCATTTTGCTCCTGCTTTTCTCCTGGAAATCTCTCTAAGGTAGGGCTCTAACTTGCAGGGCCACAGAGTATGACCTGGGAAACTGCTGGGGAAGCAGAGATTTTCCTGGGGTTCTTGCTCACAGGTCTGATTCGGTGGCAGTGGTGGGGCCCAGAAACAGTCTTTTTGATGGCATTCTCATGTCATTCTGAGAGAGAAGGCCCCCGGAACACAACTTTGAGAAGAACACCCTTTAAATCTCTCGTACCGGCCAGACCCTGCTCTTAGAGAGAGTGACTCATACCTGTAATCCCAGCACTTTGGGAGGCCGAGACGGGCGGATCACGAGGTCAAGAGATCGAGACCATCCTGGCTAACACGG